AAATTGACTCCTATTTTAATAGATCCGTGTAACCTATTAAATCTCGACTGGTTTTTTTACCCAAAAAACATAATAACTAGTTTTTCTTTTAATTTCTTAATTAAAATCAATTACATTCATTTCTTTTTGTGCTCTGTTATAAATTTATAAATAAATGTCTCATATATATACTTTTTTTATTCCATAAAAATTTTATTTCTATAAAAATGTATGCATTGCCGATATCCTATAAAAACGTCAACATTTAACTGAAAGTAGGATGTCTTAATAACTTAAGTGGGTCTGAAATACTAGTACAAATGTGAGCCTAAAAATAAGTGATAGGCCTATCACTTATGTCTGGACTAAATTCTTGAGACGATTTTTTTCTATTTATTTATTTTTATGTTTATACATTTGATATTTTATCTTGAAATATTTTCATATATTTTTATTAATCATGATGTCTAGTTTTAAATTATAATTTATGTAAATTATTTTTTATTTAATAAATATATTTTTTTATATAAAAATTAAAATCCATTAAATTCCATGATCAATATATATTTACCATAAAATATGAATTCTTTTTGACAATGATAACATATGACGTTATTATTAACTGAAAAAATAATAACATAACAAAATTTAAATATTTTTATTACATTATTTAATAATAATATTATTATTTTTATTGTCATAGTTTCATATACAACAATTAATTTTTTAGATAAAATTATGAATAGAAATAATTTAAATTTCAGTGTTCAGACTTCAGATTTTAGACATTTTATTCAGTGTTTAGATTTTGGTTTTTATCAAACACGACAAACTTAATCAATTCAGTACTTATGATTCAGTCTTCAAATTTCAGACTTCAGACCCAAATTAAGTTTTATCAAACGGATCCTAAGTCATGCTATAAAGTATAAACAAAGAAAAAATATTTTTTGTGAAAAGAAGAGTAGCTTTTATGAGCCAAAGGAAAATGGAATTGCAAGTTATTATCTTCCACTTGTACAATCAAAAGTGAATGCATACTTAACCTAGACAAATAAAAATATTACATAGGTGTATCCATATAATTTACAAAGGTAACATGCAAGCCTGATATGACATCATCCAAGATGAAACCTGGACTGCAAATCTATTCAATAGATAAAAATAGCTGTAAAGGTTAGTGTACCTTCTTGTGGACAGTAGAAGTTCAAGAAAAATTTCATGCTCTTTTCACATCCACTCCTTGTAGCTTTTAGTCTCTTCCTGACTCCTACACAAAGATTGCATCGTCAATTTTAGAAGATCAAGATCAATGACAAAACTAAATTAATCAGCAAAAAGAAGCTATTTTTCGCCTTATCCCCTCTCCTACAAATGAGACATTGTGGCGTGGCATTTGCCTTCCCCTTTCAATTGTTCTAAGCATTCAAAAATAAACTGAAGTAAAAGCTTTTGATCTTAAAGCCGATATAGAAACACAGAGAAAAGCGACTTAGTGTCACGTACAGGGAAACAAACCGACTATAACGGGAGACAGAGAATGATGTCTAAGCTTGTTGTCAAGGGTACAGAAAACTAATGATATCTAAGAAGAAAAAAGAGCTATCAACTCAGAAGTTCAAGATTACCACTACAACACTTCAAAAGCAATAAACTGATGTCTATAATAGCTGAAATAGAACCTACCAAGAGATACCGAAGAAGTCCACTCCACCCTTTCCTAATAACAGACAGAAAGTTCCAGAACCAACCTGCTGAAGAAAAGAAGAATGTTGCGCTCGTATAACACAAGAGTTAATAGGTGTCTGCAAGAGGACAAGCAATAACACCATCATTGAAAAAGGTACTCCACATTTAATATTTAACTGAGCATTAGATACCATCTATCTGATATTTGAAAACTATATCAATGAAACTGAGGCATAATTTACAAGACGACTGTGAGCATAAGGCACAGTTCAATACTGTATAGAAAAAAAAATTGCACATGAAGAAGAATTTCTACATCAACATAAACTTACGTGAATAACCAAAAACGCAAATCAGATGAAAACAATAGTGTACAGAAAACTAAGATTTACTCAAAACCTGTATTATAAAAGGGAACAGTACCACTCTTTAAGCTTAAACAAAAATTAAAAAAAAAAAAAACGAAACCAAGGGCATGCATCAAATGAAAACAATAAACTTGTCAACCTTACAACTTTCAGAGAACAAGCCCACCAACGAAAAATGCGAACTTCAGCGAGGAAAAACACTACATACATATACTAATAATAGGAGCTTTACTAACAGGCAGATTTCTAGAAACAAAAGACAGTAGAGAAATATAAAATGAGTAATTTCAGAGGCAAATGTGAGGTTTTTCACCAAAACTCTGTCAACAACATCAATTGAGGAATCCAAAAAAATGAATAAAACAGGCATAAGAAACTTAACATGTCCCAAAAACAAAAATTTGTAAAAGAAACAGCACTTGGGAAATAATATTACACACAATAATACTGTCAAGTTAGCTGTAAACAACATCAAAAAGCCAGTTCTTGAGATTAAATATTTCTGTGTTCCAAATCTAAAATGGATGGGACAAAAGCCCACAAGTATTAACTCATTTCACAATAACGCAGCAGGCACATATGGAGGAAATTATTCCAATCCGGTAACTTTAAGCCTCAACTTCATATTGTGATTTTCCTGCTTGAATTCAAACAAAATGAACAGAATTCAAACTACAATTCATACAGCATCCCGAAAATAATTAGAAATTTCTGTATTGTTTCGTTATAATCAACCCGAAAGTAACAATATAAACCCCCAAACTCTTTCAATAAAGCACAACAACAGAACCTATCTTAATGTTTTTTCAGATACAGTTCGAGATTACGAATAGGAAAACAAAGTTCATTGTAGCTTAAGAAAAACAGTTTGGTCTGTGTAAAAACCAGTGTCCAGTGTGTATCCTGGTCGGTGTAAAAACCGATTTGCTAACCCCCCCTCCCCCCTTCATTTCTCTAATAACAACACATGATATGCAATCTTTTGCCACCCCAACTCAAAGCAAAAAGAAAAATAGAAAGCGATTAGCTCAAAAAACTTCTAAAGTAATTGTCAACACTTGGGCAATTGACAAATGTACAGCCCGTCGACTTCAGGGTGGAATACAACCACTTGAGAGAGGATTCATCGGAGGAGCTCACCGGAGTCGGATTGATGGGCTGATGATTTGAGGAGCTCGGTGGAGAAACGGTGGGCAAATTCCGATTCCAACAAGAAGAGAGAAAGTGACGACGTCGAACTGAGATGAGAGAAAACGTTTGGAGGAAAAAAAATTTTGGGTCAAACTAACCCAACAAAATTACTCGTATGACTTATTTATTTTGTTGACCCAACTCAACCCAATCTAGAAATTAGGAATGAGTCATCGGAGTCATGAGTCATTTGACCCATGAGTTAGTACGACCCAATCCAAGTAAGTCAAAGTGATACATGGGTTGGGTCAAAATTTAAGTCATGGGTCAAGATTGTCAAATTTAATATATTTTAGCTGATGAAGACCACTTCTCTTCCTCCCCCCCCCCCAAAAAAAAGAGAATTTCCCTTTCTTTCTTTTTTTGCTTTGCTCGTGCATGGCATTATCCTTTTTGCAGAAATTAAATACACCTTTATGTTGTCGGTAACTGAGGGAGAAGGGAGAAGAAATTTAGTAAATACCTTAAACTCTATCCCAGGGTAATATAAGTAATTGATGAAATTTAGCTCTAAAATTTATTATTCTGAAAAAATTGATTTTTTTTCGGGGTTTTACATGACAGCCACAACACATTTTTAATAATATGATATAGCAATTCATCATATATGCTTTGTATTCTATATCATCATAAGAAAAATACGTAACTAGTAACATGATATTCTCTAGTGGCAAATATACCTATCTTCCCTCATCTTTTCAGAATGTGATTTTCATTATTTTTATCATTTCCAAAACATTCATAACTTCCCCTGAAAAAATTTCACACGCAAAGAAAACAAACGGATAACGTCAGTTGCAGATGTGAGCAAGTGGATTGTGGGTCAGTTTGAAATTTAGTATATCCCAGATATCGTTTGCTTACTCTATTTACTAACCGCGAGATTTCATACAAAATCAACTGGATTTTCCTAGAACAAATTGACTAAGGTAGTGTGTATATAATATGGGTTGAGCTGATAACTTGATAAAGTATGGGGTATATTCATAAGTAACATTTTGTTTGTGACGTAATATAGAACATGGCGGTAACGAACATTCTCATATGAAATGGACGGACATAACGTGACATAAAACTAAAGACAAAACTATAATTCCATTACGTCACCTATAAATTTGTGACAAGGTAATTAGTGCTAGGGTTTTCTTTAGATTTTCATTTAAGTCATGACCCATCATTACCGATTTATCCTGGAAATTAAATAATACGTACACATGTACTCCTAATTAGCATTAAGATTATACCTTCATCATCAAAATTATTAAGTTCAAATTTTCAATGAAATATTATCATATCAGAACTCCTTTATTTTGAAGAATTGCATTAATTTGCAAAGAGAAAAAAAAGGAAAAATAAAGAGGCGAACATTAATTACAGAAGGCTAGCTTTATGATTTATATAATAGTTTTTCATTTGTGTAATCTAAAACTAGTTGATGCCCTAACTTCGTTGCCATCATTTAATGACGTAATAAATTAAGACTATTCCATATATCCAAATAATGGCAACTCCAAAGGAACAAATGAAGATCAACACCTGTACAAAGCCTTACTGGGACACATTTTCATCCAAGAAATTATGAGAGCCAAAAGATTTATTGCTTGCAATTTGAAGAAAAATTGGTTACCCTTTTTTCCATGCTCAATTACCCAATACGACACTCTTACATTGCCTATATAAAGGCGTTATAACCATGATACTGACCATCACAACATTGCCTAATAACATCTTACATCAAAATATTGTAAAAAAAGAAGAAACACTATCTTGAAAATGAAGACTTTATTTATCAACTGTTCCTCATTTTTCTTTGTAACTCTTCTCATCCTCCTTGGAGTTGATAAGGGATTTGTTCATGGCGACGAATCATCGAGCAGTGGCTTTGTCCAAACCAAGGGAACCCGATTCATGTTGAACGGGCGACCCTTATACCTAAACGGTTTTAACGCTTATTGGATGATGTACCAAGCATCAGATCCTTCAACCAGAGACATGGTATCAACCACATTACAACAAGCCAAATCAAAGTACGGTATGAATGTGGTCAGAACCTGGGCCTTCAGTGATGGAGGTTATAGAGCCTTGCAGAAATCTCCTGGCTCCTATGATGAAGAAGTTTTCCGGGTAATTAAGTGCACACGTTTATAATAATATTCTTGTAGTTGACATACTGTAGATAAACTTATTGTTGTTTTTTCTGGGTTTGATGATATCACCAGGGGTTGGATTTTGTGATCTCGGAAGCCAAGAAGAATGGGATTTATTTGATACTCAGTTTGGTAAATAACTGGGAAGGATATGGAGGCAAAAACAATATGTTCAGTGGGCTAGGGATAATGGCCATTACTTGAACAATGAAGATGACTTCTTTACCGATTCCGTGGTCAAAGGTTACTACAAAAACCATATCAAGACTGTTCTCAATAGGGTCAACTCCTTTACGGGAATTGCCTATAAGGATGAACCCACAATTTTTGCATGGGAGCTCATGAATGAACCTCGTTGCCAATCCGACCTTTCTGGAAAATCCCTTCAGGTAATAATTATGATTACACAAAATTACACATTTTTGGTACCTTATTAATTTATTATTAAGTTAAATCAAATGTGACTAATTTATTATTACAATTTTTTTAATATATTTTTCGAGGGTTGGGTATCTGAAATGGGAGCTTACATTAAGTCCATTGATAGCAATCATCTCTTGGAAGTTGGTCTAGAAGGATTTTATGGCGAATCGATGCCCGAAAAACGAGTTTCCAATCCTGGTTATGAAGTTGGAACTGATTTCATAGCCAATAACAATATTCCACAAGTTGATTTTACCACCATTCACCTCTATCCCGATCAATGGTAAAAACATTTCACAAGAAAAATTTATCGGTTGTCTTGATTGTTGTCCTAATTTTAATTGATTTACAAAATTCATTGATGGCAGGACTAACTCAGATGAGGCAACTCAAGCTCAATTTGTGGAAAGATGGATCAAAGCTCATATAGAAGATTCTGCATCTGTGTTAGGAAAACCTCTTATGCTGACTGAATTCGGAAAATCTTCAAGGTCATCAGGATATCAAGTTTCAGTGAGAGATGCCTATTTCTCGAATATCTATGACACTCTTTATTCTTGCGCGAAATCACCATCAGGCGTATGCGGAGGATCTTCCTTCTGGCAGGTGATGGCTCCAGGAATGGAAAATTGGGGCGATGGTTATGAAGTTTTCATGGATCAAAGCCCTTCCACTATGGCAGTTGTCGCTAAGCAATCCAGCAGACTCGCATCCCTTAGTTAATTAACACAATTATATGGCAGCTAGCGAGAAAGACCCAATAATTATGATCATTGACGATTTCTTTTTCTAGCTAGCTAGAATCAAATAATTAAAACAATAAAATCAGCTTCGGAATTAATTATTTTCTTCTTATTTATTATTGTGATTCAACCACATTGTTGAATCACAAATGAATATCGGTATCATGTAACAAACATTTTTTCCTCATGGAAAGATACTATTAATGAATTGAGCATTGATCTATTTGTTTTGCTATTTTATTTCTTTCATTCTCAGTGTAGAGATTTTCTTTTAGTTTAGTTCTCCTTTCTTTTATTGTTCTAGTTCTAGACCTTAATGCATCGTGCATATATCCTGTCTCTTAAAACGGAAGGCCCATACCATATTCCTACATTGTGTTCGTTCAAATTGAGCCGTGAGCATAGAGTGCTAATGTGTAACAGTATAGTTGATTTCTTTTGTATAGCATCTTTGAAGAGCATTTGTGAAAAATCTTTTACCAAATTTTATTTAAATTTGTACCATACAATTTGAAATAACAGAGATAGAATCTTTTTCTATCCCAGTCATTTTTCTTGGAGACGATAGTTGGGTAAGAATTGGAAACATATATATATATATATATATATATATATATATATATATGACCATTGTCCATCACAGCTATATCATTAAGAAACATGTGGTGACGAGGGTAACTGAAATTGAAGTATATTTAACTGAAAATTCTGATTTGAAAAAATACTAGTGAATGATTGGTGATAATCGATAAAATACTAGCGTTACCATTAAAAACTTATATGGATGACCTTTTCTTTTCAATCCAACGGAAGAAAACTCGCGCATGTATATATTTAGATTTCAAACAAATAATCAACGATACTTCACAAAGGAATCCAAAACTGAAAGTCTCATACATATTATTCATGTAAGTTGTAACATGTTAAAATCAATCAAAGGCGGTTAGAGTGGATTGTATACGTCGATTCGTTTTGTAAAGAATAATAATACATAATTCACCTAATTTATCCCACCATTGTATCTCACCTTACATATTATTTAATTATTATATTAAATTAATTTAACTATGTTTTGTACGATTTATAGAAAATTTAGGTATTTTTATATCCAAAATTTTAAAATAATCTTAATCCCAAAAAAGTAAACCATTTTGGAAAAAGTTATAACAATGCAAATGATTCATCAATAAAAACATTGACAAGAAATATAACATAAGCATATTGAGTTATTTAGATGTAAAGTAAGAAATAGTCTACTAATTATAGAAAATAGATTATTCATTAAATGATTAATGACATATAACGTGAGATGCAAGTGATGAATTTGAAAAGATGAATATTATTACTCTTTTGTAAAATGGATTATGAGTTCGGAAGCCTGCAACTGATGAAAGGGGATAATGGTAAATATGACGAAAATGGTCTTCATTATTTTGTGACTTCTTGTCTTTATCAGTCCAAAAGGGTGAAGTAGAATTACATTATTACGTGACTTCTTGCCTTTGTAAAGTTGGATTTTATTTAATCCTCTAATATTTTTGGATTTCCAGCGGAAAATATATTTTTTTACTATAATAACTGTGTTAAAATACATTATGGTTGTATAATATAGAATAATGTTGTTTAAAAGAGAGTTTTCAATCGAACACATGTTGCAAAGTTAGATATCCTAATCCACGTGGCGGAAAAATAGATAGCCAAGTTCACATGACGCAACCACATCACTCCATCATTTAATAGTAATTTTTAATTTAAAACTGTAAATTTATAGGTAAAATTAAATTAACTAAAAATTATAAAAGGAAAAAAATAAAACTAATTATTTCCTCTGGCTATCAATTGCCAACATGGTATGTCCGCATCCGTATTGTTTTGACCCAAAAAAAAGCAATTGGCATTCACTTTAATGTAGGAAAACAATTCGCATTCCCCTAACTTACTTCATATCAACTTTGTTCAACCTAACTGAGCTAATATTATAGGAAAACAATATTTTTAATTTTGAAAATAGGAGATCACATTATCCAAGAGATCATATTATAACTAATATAACTAAAATTTATTCAGTTATGCCGCAACCACATCACTTTATCATTTATTTGTAATTTTTATGATATAAAATTATAAATTTAATGATAAAACTAAATTAATTAACTAAGAGATTACTTCTTAATGGTAAATCTTTATTATAAAAAAAGAGAGGTGACCAAAAAAAAACTTCAAACGAATAAATCTAAAGATAACCAAATGAAATAAAAAAAAACATAAAAAAAATTCATAAAAAAAAACCCGATGGCCTAGTCGAGAAAAACTAATTCACTGATCAATATTGATTTCTATAGTTATGTGTTAATCTATAAATGTTACTTGGGTTTTTTTCTTTTTTATAGGTTAGTGTATTCTTCTTCGATTGTTAATCTTTTTAATAGTAAAATATTTTTTCCCTTAATGGGCAAACTAATAAATGATTACTGTTGATTACGTTGCATAAAAATTATAAAAGAAAAAATATTAAAATAATAATGATACTAATAATATGACTATATATTAAGCGGCCAAACTTTTAATAATATTAGAGATTACCCCCCTTATCGGTAAATTTTAATGGTAAAAAGGAGAGGTGGCCGAAAAAAAAAACCCTTCAAACTAATGAATCCAAAGATAACCAACTGAAATTAAAAAAAAGAAAAACTAAATAAACCAATTTGATGTTAAAAAAAGAAAAATGACGACCATGATGAGAAAAACCAATTCATGGATCAATATTGATTTCTGTAGTTATGCGTCAAAATGTAACCCTTAATCAGAGTTTGTTTCTTATTTATTAGTTAGTGTATTTGTTTTTATTTCAGTTGGTGGTGCTTCGATTATAAATGTTTTTAATAGTATCATACTTTTTGCCCATTAAAGATCAATATTAATAAATAATTACTGTTGATTACATTATATAAAAATTACAAAAGAAATAGTAAAATAATAATAGTAATAATATAATAATTATATTAAGTGGCTAAACTTTAATAATATAATAAGTAGTTACTAATAAATTAATATATAATCATCATTATATTTTTCAATATGATCTGATGGTAGAAAAGTTTTACGTTATGATCAGAAAACAATACATATAGATATATTATTACTAATAAATGTTAACTTTCTGATGGAGAAAGTTTTCCAAAAGGAGATAAAGATTAAAGGTTTTTGTGAGAGACAAACAGTAAAAGAAAATCATATTGATATATTGAAAATAATTATATAGAGAGAAAAATCATATAGAACATAAGAAAATATGAAAAAAAAAATCGAGATAATAATTAAAAATGAAATATCATAAAAAAGTTTTCAAGAAATGAACCTTTGGTAATCAAAATTAAGTAAAAAAAAAAAGCAAAAACTATGCAACTGAAAACACAAAATGAAGGTTTCTCTTTTCAAAAATAAAAATAAAGTAAATATTATATTATAGGAAAAATAAACGAACAAACTTCTAAAGGAAGATTGCAAAAGGTATTAGAGATAGAAAATAAAATTAAGTTTATGGAAAGAAGCAATGGAAAAACATTTGTTAGGGGGAAAGTTTAAAAGATATGAAGGGTAGGAATATTTAGAAAGCTCATTATGAAAAATTAAAAGAATACTTTTAAAAGATATAACATTATAAATCAACGTAACAAAAAAGATGGACAACAAGTTATATTGTATGATTCGACTATTAAAAACTATTCTAATGTACTTAAAAATTATACAATTACAATTTATATCATTAATATTAACCTTGAACAACTCGCACAACGAGCGGGGTAAGCACTAGTATATATATATATATATATATATATATATATATATATATATATATATATGTTTGTGTGTATATAGAAGATTACATCTTTGTGGTTGCACACTTTTTTTTTTTACAAAAAAAAAAGAAAAATCTAAGAATTTTGGGTCTCCCAAAGAGCAAGAGGTTTTAGGGCATGTTTGATAAAAATTAATATTTAATTCTTAATGTTTTTTTTTAAATAGAGGGAGGTTGGGACAACGTTCATGTTCCAGTTGACTCTAGCAAACTCAAGAGGCCTACCAAAGAGGTATGTTTTGAACCAACCAGTGCTAGAGAGTACAACGCACCTAAGGGGTATACCCAAGGGATGAACAGATATACTATCTAGTTTCCTAGTTTCATCCCTCCCTTCATTTTATTAATAAGCATCAAAAGCAAATGGCAGAGAATGGTTCGTACCATATTACATCACTTAGCCTTGCTACAAACATAAGGGAGGCAAAGATGCTTAAACAGAAAATATTTCTGAGCTACCTGAAGATGCTATTCTAGCTAATTTATCAGCTACAGAGTTCGCCTCTCTATAAATATGAGTAACACTATACCCATTTCTTAATGCTTAATATTGAAGTAAAAATGATGAATTATTAAGCAGTTTTGGAATAACTAATAAACTAACTTTTGTTGTTTATATTTGCTGCTGTAGTTTTAGCAGCATTTAATTCATTAAAAAGATTTAGTTTTTTTAGGAAACACGCTGAAATAAAAGTTAATTAATGAAATAATGTCGTATTAAGTGGTGTTATCAAACAGACCTTTCGTGCACTGCATGTTTTAAAAGAATGATAATTTTCATTTCACCAGATACATCTCACAAATATGCATCTCACCACATATGACGTTGACTTATTAGGTAATAGATAAACCAGCTGGTCACTGCTTTCTCCTCTCTAGATTCTAGTAAATTATGCAAATATGATATTTCTTATAAATATATTTTTCCCATCGACAATCGGTTGGATTATTATAATTTTAACCTTAAGGAATTACATTTTAGGTTTAGGATCTATTTATTTTAAATTTTTATATGTAAAAATGTTTAAAAACTGTATGCAACTAACGAAAAAATAATTAACTTAATTTACTGAATTTTACCCAATAATTAAATGCCATGTAAGGTGAAATGTACTGGTAAA